TAAATAACCACACAGTTAATGGAGGGAAAGTTTAGGAAAATAATTACGTTAATTCACTTCAGACCTGATCCTGCAACCGTCAACCATGCAATGACATTCTTTGCCCAGCAGCAGACCCAAATTTACACTTTGCAGAATCGCATCCTTACTGAGGTAAAGATTGCCAAACAGCTTTTAGTGAGGGAATTGCCATGCGTGCCAATTCTAGAAACCAGTAAGGCAGTACAGTCTGCCCTATATTTTCAGACTTTTGGTACCTTACATAACTAGGTGCAAAATACTTATTTTTATTTCTGATTCTTTTCCTTGGAAGTGCAGTCATGTGCAATCAGGTGGAATAAGTGTGCTGATAATTTTCCTTCAGAAAATGTAATGGTTAGCGATGTGGACACTTTTCTTTTTAGGCAGAAACCATGAGGCACTGAAGCAAGCATTCACTTTTCTTGCACTTGAGGTCACAAATTTATGCAAGTCAAAAATGTTGGGCCTGCCAAAAACATCATGCTACACTCCACCAAATAAAAGGACACTGTTATTCTTACAAGGAAAGGTTTGACAGGACAGGAAATAGGCAGGGTCATAGAAGTTTACTTAATACCGAAACTTATTTAACCATCTTTAAGCCAAAATACAATGATAGTTATATAAAAAAAAAAAAATTAGAAGGGGGGAGGGAGGCAAGACAAATACAAGAGCACCGGACTGTGCTACTACAGAAACTAGGGAAGCTGAATAAAAATTAGTATAATTCAGGTTACTAGATGTCACCTGCCTCTACTGGGTTAACACGTATTAAGTAAATTTTAATTTATGTCCTGAACTTGCAGCAAGAGGCATCTGATTTGAAGAATCCAGTGCAGTGTTTACCAAGCTATACACTACTTTCATTACAATGCAATCCTTAAGTAGACTGCATTCCACTTAAAGGAATGGAGGAAGGGGGAGTAAGAAGAGAGTGAATATGAAAGATAGGAAAAATGTTGCTGTTCATTACAATTTTCCATTTTTGTTGAAACACAGCAGGAGAGCAAAGCCACAGGCTTCTCTACTGCTCTTGCATGCCAGGAGGGATTATGCAAACACTGCAACCACCCAAATCTTATTTAAATTATAGTCATTGTTCCCCCTTTAATGGTTATACTTTTGCCTGCTTTCACTCAAACATTGCTGCATCTTGCTTTCCGCCAACATAGTCCCAATGGGAGTCATCAACTCCTAATTATAGATGAACAGATCTTTGAAAAAATACCTCTGGAAAAAAAGTGGAAAAGAAAGCAAACTTTAAGTGCCATCTAGTGGCTGATCTACTAAAAAACGTGAAATAAATCAAAAAATTCTTAACATGCCACAGAGTAATATAACTGTAGCTGAACTGAGGAAGCAGTGCTTAAATTCACAACCGCTAAAGACCAGGTTAATACTTCGGGGAACCAAGAGAAGGACTAAAGATTAATGGTATCATTACCATAATTTTTCTTTTAAGATTTTTGTCTGTAAGTGGAGAGTTCAAATGGTAGGAATTGTCTAGTCATCACCTGTTCCTTCAAGACACTCAGCAGCTTATCAGCGTCTGCCTTGGGAAGGAAATACAAGTTGTCATATGCATTTCAGTCCAAATTAGAAAATAGAACACTTTCAGATCTCAAAATAGAACCCAAACCATGGGGGTGAATCTGGAGCCAAGCATCTGAATTCAAAAGTTAGCATTCTCCTCCAAATTCACCTGGGATTGAAGGCCAGATTTTCTCTTGTATTTGTATCTCTTAGTTGTAACGGGTCAAATCCATTTCTAAAAGAAAGGAGGCAGATTGTTAGTTAGTAATGTCCTTTTCCTTTCCCTGCAGGAAAAAGCCATCTTCTGCTACAGATGAGAATTCCCAACAAATTATTTTCCATTACAAAAGCTCCACGTTCCATTTACACAAAGGACGTTCCACAAGATCGTTCCCCAAGCTTTAGGTAACTCCTCTTGGAGATGACATGTCCCTTCCACAATAGTAGTTGACAGTCTAAACTTAAATAGCTTTGTCTGACCTGTTCAGTGACAATGGAGAGCAGCCCAACATAATTTTTATTTAATGTAATTTTAATTTCATTTTTTTGCAAATAGCATTATACTTTGGACTTGCTTTGGAGCTTTACATCTCCTCAGTTTCATAGCTATAGTGAGCCTTGGGGATCACACCTCCGCGACAGGTTCTGGAGACATGAATCTCTCTAGATAGAAGTAAGATCTATGCATGTTAGTGTCTAGCTTCTCATGAGGTTACTTGCTCAAGCATGTTGCTCAGTCAATGACACAGCCAGTTTTTCATTGAATTACAAAAATAATTTACAACGAGTTAATTTAGGCAGGATAGAGCTCAAAGTAATGAACAAGATCAACGTGTTTCCCAGTCCTTTCTTCCTTTTCCTAATATAGAAATTTTTAAACATTCCAATTTTTGTTTAAAACAGGATCAAATGTGCTAATTAAAACTTAAAATGTACCATTATAAAGAGGGAAATTTAAACCTTGCTGAAGAAGTGCCGGTCTGTCTTCTTCCCCTTGCTTATAGGGAGAGGGTGAATTGTACGAGTAAGAGCCGGGGAAGTTAAAAACTACCTTCTGCAACAGATACTGTTCTGTGCCTTCTGTGTATATTTGCCAGATACCAAGATAAAATACTTTCGTAGCATAGGTGATATTAATGGAAAAAGGGAACATTAAAAGAATTTTGAGGGTATTGCTTTTTGTATTAATGAAATTGTGGGATTTTTTTTTTTTTTAAAAGGGAGATGTAGGCAGCATGGTTTGAACCAGAAAGTAGCAAATACTGTTGTAAGAATTCTCTGCTCGCTACCAATATAAAAAGTTCCTACAGGTTTCAATACAGGCCCTGGTCTGCAGTAGCAAGTATCAACTCAAGAGCTTTCAATACATGGGTGTGTAACTCTTGCTGCCCGGTTAGAAGTATTTGTCTTCTATAGATTTGCTACTCATATTGAAGCAAAACCCCAACGCTATAAAAGGCATTACCAGGATTTGTTACCCTAGCACAATGGTTTGATGCACAGGGAGGAGTTCAGTGTAGAGGTGAGCTTGAAAGCTTGAAAACATTTCCGTTGTTTCAGATAGACAGACTTTTCCAAGGTCCTACTGGCAAGAGCCTTGCAGTAATCTTAAACTCATTACATGCTTCTCTAGATAAGTATTGAGAAACGATGAAACAGAACTCAACTATACCCATTTTCAAAATAAGTGAGCCCTTTTTGGTAATGACACTTAGATAACTGTATGTTGACAACTTACAGCAGGCATGGATCTGTAAATTTATGTTTCTTCGTGCGTCTGAGATTGCTAGAAAAAGCACTATCTCAGAAGCTAATACTATTCCTTCTTATCTCAGAATCTGGACTATTAGTATTACTTTCAAAAATGGAAATTAGATCAGTTTCCAACAGGTACAACAAATTGTACATGCCAACAGAACTTAAACTTTTTCCTTGCAGGTTGCTGTTCCAAGCGAGATCATCTTGTAGTATCTTTTAAAAAGCACTTGCATCAGTGTATGCCCTGCTGGTTTTTTCCTTTGGGGGCAGGGAGAAGAAAAGAGAAGCAGCAAAACTTGCTCTCACCTTACAGTCCAGGAAAGGAAAGAGCTTTACACAAAAGGATCATAGTTATTTTAAGACCTTTAAATAGCCTTTGGTAACTGAAGTTCCTTTTTGGCAGGTTACAGAATGGAAGAAACTTAAGTGTCAAGATCAGCTTTTCCAATTCACTTAAAGCTTCATTGGTATGATGTGCTTCTTGCTTACAGCAGGCTTTTGCATGGTAAGCATGGTATGAAGGTCTGGGTATACAGATATAATAAGCACAGTGTTGTGATGGGGCGGGGGGGGAGGCAGAAAGGACTGATAAGCATCTAATGCACATGGAGGGAGAGACTTCTACCCTAGTCAAAGATGAATGTACTTACTGTTTCAGCACTGCCAAGTCAATGTAATGACTATCCTACGGTTGAAGGGGTCTGAACGCTGTCATATTACACTTTATTTTCCAGCTCTTTGGGGAAGGGGGGGGGTAAAACGTATAAAACGTGCAGTATTTTGGGCCTACTTCACTGGAAATGGTTAGTCCTAGACAAGGATGTGACACTAATACCAACAGGGTTATTATGATCTGAGACTACCAAGAAGAATGCTGTGAACATCTTAGTCTACAAAAGGGCCTACCTTTCCACTGTTGAAACACTACTTAAAGCACAGTGTTTCATACCTGTGACCTTTCAGCAAAGAAAATCTAAAAAGAGAATACAGACAGCTGCAGGAAAAAAAAATTATGTTTGAGAGCCTCACAGTCTTTTCTAATTCTTTTCTGTAAAGTGGCAAAATACTCAAGATTCTTTCCTTTTTGTCCCTTCTCTTGTGTGCGTGTTCTTTCAGCTGAAAGCTTTTGAGTAATTTAAGAGGTTCCCACACTTAAAGGAACAATCAGGTTCGGGACAGATTCCAAAAGTATGTTAACTGGTCAAAGTAGAGCTGAAAAAAACTAATTCATGCACTGCTTCAATCATTCAGAATCTTTCTTCCATACAGTAACTTATTAACGAATTTGTCAACAAATATTTCAATAGCATGTTTTGTAGCATTTTTTTACTATATAGAAGTTATTTCCAGATGAGTTGTGTTATTTAGCTCAAACACTGTATTGCCTGCTCTTTTAATGGAGAGCTAAAAAATTGGCTGTTTGAGGATCAGCTAAGGATCAAAGACAGAACTTTAGCTTTGAACAGAAACACACGTAGTTTGACAGGTTGTAGAAGATGCAATATTAAATATCTTTGCCCTATTCTGACTTAGGGGTCAGAGTGTGAAGTCATATCGATACCTGTATTATCACCAATTCTGTATGAAATAGGCTCTCAGCCTGAAATACTGAGCTACATGGAAGATTAACACAAACTGGCAAGGGAACAATTAGCTATTTTAGTTTAGGTGAGTGAAATAAAATCAAATCATTAAGTTTTTTTTTAATTTATTAGAGTATAATCAGCACATAAACAATGAGTTCTTATTACTGAGGACTGAACATCTATAAAAAGAAAAAATAATCTGTCAACTAATCAATCCAGTCACTCATGCACGTTTCCCCATAATGCAGATGAATCCACTGCCTGTAAAAATAGACAGGAGGACAGATACAGAGAATTCTGAATAAAACTTGCATTTTGTTTTATGTACTCCAAAATCCCACTTCTAATTCAAATGAAAACTTAGAAATAGCATAACAAAATAAAAAATATAGAAAGCATATTCAAATCATTTTCAGTTCTTTCCCGTAGAACCAAAGCCACCTTCGCCACGTTCTGTATCATCTAGAGCCTGAAAGACATCAATTATGATAAGTTGGTTTAGTGTCTTAACTTGCCTTTTGTTTCTATACAACAGGTATTGTCTGTCTAGAGGAAGGTACATTTACTCGTAACAATAGCTATAATTGAGAAACTAAACCAAACAGTTTGAGACATTTTAGAATACCTTTTGTACAAGTCTAAACAAATCCCACATAGTGAGACAACTGTTTTCAGTATATACTGCAGTGTTTCTCAAGTACCTGTTAACTCTGAAAACTACAAAGAAAAAAAAAAAAAAATCCCTGTAAATGCCTGCAAAGCATCAAGATTTTATTCAGGTAGCAATGCTACTATGCAGTTTTAACACTGAAAGTTGTTTCAAAGCAAAGTATTTATCTATACCATAAATTTCAGCTTATATACAACTATCTTAAACTATTGATTATTAAAAATAGCAGAAATATTTTCTTTTGGCAACTTACTTGAACTTCTTCTAGCTCAGGATAGTAAATGCGTTCACAGATGAGCTGGGCAATCCTATCCCCTTTTTTAACTGCAGTGAAGTTAAAATATTATTAGTTACTTCAAAAAAGTGAACAATCAATACAAAGTTTAGACAATCCCCTTTCAAGAGTATCAAAATGTACTAAAGTCTAAACACTTATTTGAAACTTAGTTAAGCAGATGTTAATAGCCCCAGAGAAATACAGCCTAAGATAAACTTGTGCTTAGTCCTTTTAAGGTGAAGTTTCAGCAGCAGTACCAGCTCAAGGCATCTCCCCTCACTCCTGCTGCCATACTGCGGCATCTTAAGTGTCATTATGCATAAATACCGCAGAGATGGAGAGGCAGCTGTACGCATAGTGTGGCTCCTTTTTTGAACTAGACCCAGAAACTGACTTCTCTGGGGGGAAAAAACCCAAACTGATAAAAGGAAAACAAAATTTCTGATTAGTACCCAATCTGGTTCACAGAACTTCCGTAAGAAGCTTGTGCTGTGAAGTTGCAGGAAAGGCTGCAAAAACACTGGCAATATTGGAACTGGACCCTGAGGCTTAAAACTGTTTGCAGAAGAGACAGCACGATTAAGGGAAAATCATATCTTTATTACTCATGTTTCCCAGGATCCTGGAGAAGTTCTTACCTCGAATACTGCTCAGCTAAATCTTTTTTTTTGCAGAGCAAGAAACTTAATACAAAGTTGCGCTTCACTACAGCTCATGAGTCTAAAGCTTAGCTAAGCAGGGTTTTTTTGTTTGTTTTCATTTTGTGGTGGTGGTGTGTTTTGGGGTTGTTTGGGTTTTTTCGCATGCTGCCTAATTTGCTAGGAGTGGAATCTTTTTGTGTTTCCTTGAGAGGACATTGTTAAGTTTCCATGTTTTTGTTAATTGTAAGAAGAAAAATGTTCTCAGCTAGTTCTAACTCTTCATGGACTTCTAAAGAAAAAATAGTTTCTCATTTCCAGTCAGATGGCTGAAAGCAGGCTCTGCCAAGCTTAACACTTGCCTTCAAAAGTCTCCTTGCCAAAGTTGAAGAGTACCACACCAACATTTCCCCTGTAATCCTCATCAATAACACCAGCTGTCGTAAGAAAGAATTAAGAGGGATATCAGTTAATCAGTGTTGTCAGTATATTAGATAAGTAGATTAGGCAAGATTTAGATTAGTAGATGACTGCAGTATCTCATATTGACATCCTTTACACTACTCATGCACAATTAAACAATGTATATGAAAATACCGAAATATCTAAAAATGCTACTCGATCTTGCAAAAAGAACTGAAAAACACCATCACGTATCGAGAAGTGTTTTACCACTGTACCACTAATTTTAGTTGTAATACCCTATCTGAAATCAAGACAGCTGTACCAAATTCAGGCTCCATTTGTTCTGCTAACTTCAGCTCTTTGAGTGTCAAGCAGAAATCTGTTCTTAACTCTAACGTTTTATTTGAGAGCTAAGGATTTGCACAGATTCAAATCTCCTATCTCAGGCAAGGTAACAGAACTAAAGCTTTAAGGAACTGATTGTCATTCAGCTACGTTCAAGTGTAAATACTGTAAAACAAGCTTGCTTTTATAGTTTATATAACTGTATTAACTACATAGTTAAGGAGATTATCTACCGATACACATTAAAATAATCATTCTGCTTCTTTGGGGTTTTTCTCTCTGATACAGGAAGCATACTTCCAGTAGAAAAACTGGAGTTCGGGCTTCCTTGTGGACCAAAGCATGTATTTTGAAGTCTACTTGCAGAAATAATTCTAATACTAAAATTGTATGTCATTCCAAGACATTCCCAGACTCATACATACAAAGTACTACCTTTGGAGATTATAAACACCAGAGGAAATTGTAGTATAACTATACCTTGAAGTTTTAATGTTGAACCACAACAGACACACTTAAGAATAGAGAACTGAGGGTTTTTTCTTAGTTTCTTTAGCTGTGTGAAAATACTGCAGTACATATGGTCCACAGTTACTGTATGATCTCTGCACTAGGTCTAGAATGAAAAACATATTTGTACAG